GATCATTTTAGCAACAGGTTTGATCACTTTAGCGACCGTTTTTAACTTTTTAGCTACTGTTTTGATCATTTTAGCTAGTTTTGATCATTTTAGCTTCAGTTTTGATCATTTTAGCTTCAGTTTTGATCATTTTAGCTTCAGTTTTGATCATTTTAGCTACTGTTTTGATCATTTTAGTTTTGATCATTTTAGCTTCTGTTTACTTTAAATTGGTTTCTGCTCTTTGTAGTTTGCTCTACTTGGTTCAACTTAATCAAATGTCAGAAAAGTCTTCCGGGTTCCAGGTTCTGGTCCCAATTAGCTACCAGTTAACACACCTGTGTAAACCACCGCGGTGATGACGGCAGCGACGAAGGGAACCCTGAGCGTCTCCTGCAGTTTGTGCGCGTGCATGGCCGCAGCTTGCACCGTGAAAGCGCAGGCCAGCTCCACGGCCGCAGCCTCCAGAACTGTCCCGCCGAGAGGGTCAAAACATCGGAACCCGAACTTTTGGTGTCGGAGGTGCATGTCCGACAAACCCAGCGACCACGCGGAGGCTGCGAAGACGCGCGCGGCGGCCGCGGCTCCGAACTGGAACGCCATGAGAAGCACGGCGGCCCGGACGCTGCGGGCCCCGCGGCAAACGCTCTCCAGAGCCGCGCTGGGGTTACACGTCGCCCCCCGAAAACTGAACAAGTGGACGACTGTGATGGTGTAGGTGAGCGCTGCGCTGCCAGGCGGCGCCAGCCCGCCAGTTTGAGCCAGAAGTTTGAGCTCGTGCGTGCAGCAGCACAGCTGGAACGTGGACACAGTTTCCAGCAAGTAGAGCCGATAAACTTCGCCGAGAAGAGGCGCCGCCGCCCGGCGCGTGGCCTCGCACAGCAGCACGGCGGCGGCCAGCACCGACAGGGAAACCCACAGGTCAGTCATGTCCCAGTTTGAACTCCCCTGACTCCCAGTGACGGCTGGGTCTTGAGGCACAAACTGTTCTCGTTCATTAAAGCACTTGTCCACGGTGGCTCACCGCTCCAAAGTCCAGTTGATCCACGCGGCCGCGTCAAACCGCGCGCTTCCAAACCGGAACTAGAGCGGCACGGCCTTCAAAACAAAAGCGTTAATGATTTTTTTTAATTTACTGCCGAAAACTCAAATTGGAAATAATTAATAAATGCATGTCTTGAAATTGTTCTCAAAGCATTTTTCTTCAACCAGTTACGTTTTTGCTCATTTATCGTGAAAACCAGACAGTTGAGGTTATCGGAAATATTTTCAAATTTGTTACACAAAGACAAGTGTTGCGCTTTAATTTGTGGAAAGTTCCCTACTTTTAAAATTAAGAAAATCCCTTACTTGAAATATAAAACAAATGCACTAATATGTACAAAAGTAACTTTGTGACGTTTATTTGTCTTACTGGATGAGGGAAAACTCTATTATAACAAAAAAAAACTTTCCAAATATTGTTGCTATTCTGTAACTTCAACTTTAAAATATACTGAAAATTTAAATACTTTAAGTATTTGTTTTTGAGACGCTGCGCTATAAATGTTGGTAAATGGCTTTTATTTTTAAGGTTTAGGCTGGAATTTGGATCGATGCAGTAAAATATTTCACACTTGACAGTACTTTGTGGCAGAGGGAAAAGTTGAGGGTCAAATTTCTGCTCGTGAACATTTGAGAATTGTCAGTCAGCAAGTTATTTGTTAATGTGCCTTAAGGAAATAAACTGTCATCTTAAAGCAATAAAAACTACTATACGCCTCACAACGATGTTTTTGACACACAGATAATTCCTAAAAATTAAATTAAAATTTTGATAAATTCTTATAAAGTTGCCACAATATTTAATTCCTCTAATAATAGCACGTTAGTGTTCAAGTTCATGTTTCTTAAATTTTCAAATATAAATGCTGTCCACTTGTCATAAAGTTGTCATAAAGTTGTCATAAAGTTGTCATAAAGTTGTCAAACTTGTCATAAAGTTGTCAAACTTGTCATAAAGTTGTCAAACTTGTCATAAAGTTGTCATAAAGTTGTCATAAAGTTGTCATAAACTTATTATAAAGTTATCAGCTTGCACATGGCCTGCTGGTGTTCATCAGGACCGTCAGAGCTCAGACTGTTGAGCGACGCTCAGTTTTAGCTCGATCACCAGAACTGACCGAGTTAAAACTTTTAACTGTGGCTGCCATTTTGAATCAACTCCAGAATTAAAGTCCAAGTCAACTTTATTGTCGTTTCCATCTCATGCAGTACATGAAGTGGAATGAAATTGTGTACACAGGGTCCCAGTTACTCCCCAAAATAGCAAAATATAAAGTATAAAAAGAATAGTAAATAAGGATCTAAGATATACACCAAACAAACGGTACGCTAAAATATCTAAGATATAAACGCTAATAACGTAAAACAATGCGGTGTAACAACAGCAGCCCGAACATGAGTCTGTGGTGAGCAGATGGGTATAAATGAATACAGCAGCGTGAGATAATCAGCAGCGTGAGATAATCAGCAGCGTGAGATAATCAGCAGCAGTTAAGTCGCATATCACCAATTAAAGTGGCATTACAGTGATTATTTTTTTCTTCTTCTTGGTGATTATCCTGGTTTGGGATTTACGAGTCTGTAACAGCTTCAGGGTAGAAATTTAGATCTGACAAAATTATTGTTCAGACTTTTTAAAATTGATCCAGTGGTTTAGGAGCTAATAATTACTTCAAACTGTATATAAGCACAGATAGTGATTTTTTTTTTTTTATTTGTCCCCAAAATTCATTCAATCTTTGTAGAGGTCTCAAAACCAAC